CTTAGTAAGAACTGAGTATACGGTTTGGTAATGACCTGTTGGGAGAGAATCACTGATAACAGAGACAGACACAGCTGCTGCTAGCCTGTTTGCTTCTTTCCTTAATACCAGCTGTAAAGAGCCGGCTCTGCCCTCCCGTCTGTGTCTATGTGGATCCGACTTTACGCTGTAAATTCCAAGTACAATCCAGGGAAACAGCGTGTTCCTGTATCAATTATTCAGAGACTCGCAGAGGGAGCTAGTAGCAAGCAAAGATGCTTTTAGTGTTCTTAACATTTCACGGATTTACCTTACAGCGGGTTTTATAAAAAGGTAAAAAGGAAAACAAGGAAATCGAGTGTCTTGCATGTCTAAAGTTGGGGAAAAATCAGGAACCTCTGGTTTAGGAGGGTCCTTATGAATGTCTGCGTTACTGGTTGATAATCCAGAGCTTAAACATTTGACAACACTTTTTAAAGAATATTTTAGTTTCAGTTTAATTGAAAAGTAGGGTGTATTTATTTACTACACCTAGGCTGCACAAATAAGCCGCGGCGTTACAATATGGTTGACAAAAGCTCAACAGGACAGCTTTAAGAGCACTAAAGAACTAAATGCTCCCTGCAGCCTTTCAAGCTACTTCAACAGGCATAACTTGTTTAAACGCTATAAAACGTTCAACAATCGACACTATTCAACACAAATGGGTCAAATAATAAAGTTGTTGGGCCAAACAGTTTCACATTCAAACTATTCAGTCATCCTTCGTGTCCTGTATGAAGACATCTACATCTGTAATGTTTATCCACTCATTTATTCAGCGTTGTCTTCAATTTGTCGCCTATCTGACTGTGCATGCAACTCTCTTTACCGCACTTCAGTACTATGACACCATCTGCAAAGTCTGCACTGAGGAAACACAGCCGAGCATGAATATGAGTACAAATAATCCACGGCTGAACTCTGACATGGTAGGTTACCAGAAATCCTTGGCAACAGCAAAGACGATTTATGGAGACGACAGCGGGTCAGGCGAGATCCTCCAAATCTCTGCTAATAGCCAATAGCTTTCAGTAACACAAAAAGAAAAGAAACAAAAACAAAATGTGGCGTTCGAGACCACAGACGTCCTGTGAAGAGTAACTGGAGAGCAGAGCGACTTCCTCCATGCCACTCATGTGACTGACAACATTCAGTAACGCTTCAAAGTTCATCAAAATACACAATTTGAAGCACTTTCACACCAGAAGTACAAACATTTTAGCTTTGCCTTTTCCAGAAGAGGACAGCGCAATCAAATTACAACAGTAAACAAGCTTGACCAAAATAAATGTTACATAAAGTGATCCGTTACTCCCCAGTTCTGCTGACTTGGTAAGGTGTTTTGTTGTATCAACAAGCACACAGCGGCATAATTACTGTGTGTTGACAGCACTTCTTCAGCACACTTCTACTGTTGACATAAAACAGACACAGACAATGAGTACGAATACCAGCAGAGGTCGACATCCAGGCGGATATCAAACCAAAAAAAAAACCTGAATTAACGGAATATGTGGCTAAAATATGACACACAAACAAAAAGAGCAACTCCCCATGAAAGGGCCTTATAAGCAAGGTCGCTGCTTATTAGATTAAAATGCGCGGTTATCAACGGTGCAGTCGAGCCCAGCAACATATACATCAATGAGCGTGTAGCTAGAGGCCTGGAGACATAGCCGACACCCAACAGGGGGGTCCGGCACACTTTGGCTCCATCTCGGGCAGCGGCTCGGCACATGTCGGCACATTTAAGTTGATAATGGAAACTGCAATTCAGCGTGGCGTGGTTCGATTCGGCGTGGCCAAAAGCACCAATGGAAAAGCTTTACTATAGGGACACAAAATCAAACTCATCACCAAGACAGAGTTTATTTTACAGTAAGAACTTTCCTCCTCCACGTCCAGATAACACAGGGCGTCATAATGTGACATTATAATTTAACTTCAGGGATAAATAAAGTATCTATGAGTGAAACTGAAGTCTATAACCAATAATTAAAAGTAATACATACATATAGAATAACTTTTTTTAAAAAAAACGACTTCTAAAACTAACATTTGGTGTTTGTAATTGATAAGTTACAATGATGAAATCTGATTACCTTTCTGTCAAGCAACTAATAATGTCATCATAAATAATTAATTGATCCAGCAGCAAGTTAAAAGCCCTCATATAGGTTCAAGGGCACAGCATCTGTCCTCTGGCAGACAGTGTATGCCTACAAAATCCCTACGCATCTTCCTGATGAAGGCAACATTTAATTTCCATCCAGAAATAAGTCAAGTGTATCGGCCTGCCAACCTTACGCTGGTTTTCTGTAACAAACCGAGTTCGCTGTCCACTGTGTGTCCCACTTTTATACTAAAACCAGGCTGGGTGGATATGCTGACACCTCCCATCAGTTGGAGGGGCTTAAGAGGGGGGGGGCAGCTCTACAAAGCCTGAGGAACAAACAAAAGCCTTAGAAGCATCAGTTTCACTAAAAAAAACCAAAGGCACCCATTGATGAAACTGTACCAACAGACTGAAAAACAAACGATGCAGCCCATATTGAATCTCTAAGCTGGTAGGTGGTCTACGTCTTTAAGCGCTCTACTCTGAAAGACAAACATTAACACCCAATAACAACCGATAACATCATTAAACAAGGAATCTACTAACAACATACAACCCGTAGAGCTGAGAACAGGATGATGAAGTGAGACCGAACTCCAGGTCATCTACTGAATAGCACTAAATAATTCTCTGTGAGATTTTGCTCTCATCAGGATCGACGGTGAAAGGGGGAAAACACACGGAGGGAGCGGGAGAGTCCTGGCAGAAGCGAGGGAGCTGGCTGCAACAGATGGGGTGGTGGCTAATGGCCTGAATCTGGCTCGAATCTGAACCTGCCCCGCCACCAACCCCCTGGAGAGAAGGCAATCCCTCCTCTGGACGCAGCAGGGAAATGGACAAACAGAACTGCGTCTGCGAAGTGTTCGCATCACATTTCACCTGATTTTAAAGCACTGAGAACAGTATGTCCAATCCAATCCAACTTTATTTGGCAAGCACTTTAAAACAACCAAAGTGCCGTACAGGAGAATAAATAAAACATCATAAA